GATCAAATTATTTTGTATTTGTATAGTTTTTTATTTGATATAGGGTTGGCATGCAATAGTTTGAAATTTAGTTGTTTGAGTTTAATATCATAAATTTCATAATTTTTTTTCCATATGTTTTTCCATTTAAAACGATCATCGTCTAGCACACGTTGCCAGTACATAATTCCTTTCGGCTGAATAAATTAATTTAGAATTATGTTCTGATATCATACTTCATAATTTGAAAATTATTTATGTTTTCTTTGGGTTTTATTACGTTATGTTCTAGAATTATTAACCACTTTTAGGGATTGCATTTTTAACAGTCCAATATTCAGTTGCCCAGTTACAGCAGCGTGCTAACTTAAGCTTTGGGGTTAATTAATGTACCATTTTGAATTATAGGCCTGTCTTGAATTTTAACAATACCAGAATCAATACATGTACGGGAGTATAAAACTCTATTGTCCATCTTGATACGAGGGTTTCCCCAGATATACTCCTTATAGATTTCATTTGTTGTCACAGGTTCATATGTTAACCCTCCTCCTGCTGCAATCCAGGCTTCAACAACTTCTTTGTAGAAATGCGGCATATTAACATTTACTGCTTCTTTATAACATGACGTGATTTAAGAACAAAAAGGTCTCTACCTAATATATTAAGATGAAAGTAGGGGATGCATTTCCATAAAGATTTGTCATCATTCTTCAGAAGCTTTTGCAGCCACATAATTCTCAATGTAACATCGTGCCTTTTTAAAATTTGGCATATTAATACCTCCCTTTAGAATTTGGGCAGTGTTTCCCTCGATATTTTGTCTGTTTTGGAATCCCATAGAAAAGAAAAGATTATTTTATCAACTGCATGAAAGACAAATTTAGGGATATCAATGGTACTGGCAGTAAAATTTAGTTGGGATAACGCTAAGCTATTAATTATTGTCACTTTACCGAAAATTATCTTATTGTTTTCGTTAAATTAAATGGAGTTTAAATTGGTTATATTACGCTAGTTTAGTTTGAAAGTTTACTGTAAGCCAATCATTTACACTTACTGTACATCTTCATTGTAAGCATAAAGAGCGTCGCTCCATAATAGGTCAATTTATAAGGCGCAAATAACCAAGGTCTCTCAGCACCAAATAATAATAATAATAATAATAATAATAATAATAATAATAATAATAATAATAATAATGTAAAATGTTCGTAAAATATTTGTCACTGGTGCTGGGAACAGTCACAAAAGTGGTGCCCAGTAGAAAAAGTGGGTGGGCCAATGGCCCCTGCCCCCCCCCCCGCTTCCGCCGCCGTTGGCTATATATGGGCATACAACAATTGTTTGTCAAAGAAAATTTGATAATCTGGCCAGAGCCTTAGAAGTTGGAAATATAGATGATATTGGAAGGAATAAATTTGTAGATCAAATCAAAGTGTCTTTGATGAATGTAGGCCTACTGGTACTAGTATAGGCATCTATTATTTGCCTCTCCCTTGAGGTTACAAAGCGAAGTTGCTGGTGGTAATCAGCGTAGGAGCAGGCAACCCCACCAGGTACCCATTTATACTCCTGGGTGGAGAGAAGCAACGCAGATAAAGTGCCTTGTTCAAGGACACAAGATGCACAGCGAGGGATTGAAACCCCGACCTCGAACCAAACCGTTGCGGCTGCGCCCAACCGCTTCCAACAAAGTAAATATCTTTATTGGTCACTGCATGGAGGTACTATATACCTTCATGGTCACAATTAAAGTTATCAAAATCAATTTTAGAGTTTAATATTACATCTGCTATAGAACAGAATAGAAAAGAAAACAGTATATTCAAACCAAACTTTATTAACCTCTTCTATGATTACATACCGGTATCCCCAAACAATAAAACTTAACACCATAACACATACCACCATTTTCACAATTAACATTTAAAACAATTGGTACATTAATGTGTACGACACTAATAGTAAAACAAAATAAAACAAAGTAAAGTATTACATATTAAGAATTTCTTTTTCATTTATTTGTTGCGTCCATCATATGATGAGCTGTTCAGTGAGTGGTGGGCATAAAAGTAGGCCCGATTTAAAATCGATAAAAGAAAATCTGACTAACTTTTAATGACCACTATATTTATATATCAATAGGTAAAAAATTAATCTCTTACATTGTTCCTTTTTAAATAAAATTCTAAGAGGTTATTCCATCTAACATTAACATAAATGTTGGTATCATTGTACATGCAGTAACATCGGTTGATCTCGGTTTTCCAAATTGCATCATCAATGGATTATTAAACTATTAACTAATCAATACTCTTTGAATTACAGTTACACTATAGATTACATAGTTACACCATACCATTTAGATAGTTACACGATATATTCTTAATCAGATTCATTTGTGCCCTTTTAGAATTGTCTTCGTGTGCGCAAGTGTAAAGTGTTTACACGTAGACATTGGCCTAATACCGTATAAATCTCGAATTAAAGCCATGGGCTTCTTTTTGGCTTTTTTCCCCGAACTTCAGATGAGATTTTTTTTAGGGCACTTTTGCAAAGTAACGAGGGGGGCTTATTTTCAAAATTAATTATGTAAATTTTGGAAATTAGTACAGTACTATAAAACAATAAATAGGGCCACTGTAACATCAATCTGTATCATGGAGTGAATAAAGTGGCATCAAACCACCTAAACTACTATATAAACTAAGATTGTTTTAAATTTATTTTGTTTCTTTAAAATTCAAGTACAGTGTATGTACTGTACTATCTCTAAAAGAAGCCTATGCTAGGCTTCTTTTCGAGGTTAATTTTGCCAATTTGCTAATTTTTGGTGGGCTTCAATTCGAGATGGGCTTCGCTTCTCGAGATTAAGCCCATTGGGCTTCCATTCAATGTTTTACGGTATATTGGTGAGCTATGATACAATCATCTAATCATCTTTGTGATCAGTGGCACTGACTTAACTAAGAATACACTTTTTTTATTTTAAAAGGAAAACTATTACAACGAAGTCAGGTAGCCTGAATTAAAGAAAACGGGAGACTTTTACACCTACAGTTAATTAGGATTGACCCAAGAACAAATACTTATAGGTCTAAAACAAACTTTTTTTTATCAATTTAGTTTGTTTTGATTTTACTGTCAATCTCAATGCAAAAACATGGAATAAATATTGCATTGATTCTTTGATTTCCTAGAAACATTGATGGCCGAAGATGGAGCAACTGGCAATAAATTTATTCATAGGTAGAAACGACACCACATATAATTAGCATATTTTTGTTAAAATATTTTTTGTTTCAGTATGAAGTTAAAAAATAGTTTTCATTACTATCAGCTTTATGTCTTTTATTCTCAGTTTTAATCAAAATTGTCATAAAGATTGGAATTACGCACATAATACAAGTTAAAGAATTCGCAGCGAGAAAGTTCCAATTTTCAAGAATTATATCATACATGTAAACGGAAAGGAAAAATGTAAAATCCACAAAAAAAACTATTATTGAAGCCGACAGGGACTCTGACTCTGGATAAGTTAGCTCAGCCCCGTATTCAAATCCAATTGTGTAAAATATACGAGCAAAAACATAATAGATCGAAAAAAATACGATAGAACACCAAACGTATTCATATTGCATTGATACGGTGAAGCAAACAAATGTTACAAAAACTACCAAAACTGTCACTCGTGCGGTTAACGAATACTGTTTTGTTTTGTCCAACATCCAACCAACAGCTACAGACCCCACAATTACAAGAAGTATACTAAAAAAAACCATAGGGCCAACTATATTACCTTTGTTTGGATAAGAATATAAAAAAATATCTTTCACCTTAGCAGTGATAATTGTCGACTGTCCTATACATAGTCCACACGCTATTGCAAGTAACATAAAGTTTCTGTTCATCATCATAACTTTGATGGATTTGGAGAAAGTATCTTGTTTTCCATAAACTGAATTCCTTTTCTGAACACTTGGTGGAAATGGTGGTTTGTCTTCAAATATAAATGCAATTATAGGGAATATTACTGACATAAATATTGCTGTTCCAAGAAAAATGAACTGTAGTTTCCGACCAATATTGTTCTGGTTTTGAAATATATAAGGTGTGAGAAACCCGATTGCAATTCCAAAATGTAATGCAGTGGATCCAAGTGCACATGCTAAGGAAACTTCGTTTGATCCAAACCAAGTCCCCGACAGTTGTGAAGCCATTCCAAGACAACATGTTTGAGCAATTCCACATAACGTTTGACCAATAAGGCTAACATAGATTGAATCCTGAAAAAGTATGCCAACATAACGGATCCAAGATCCAACCAAGTGCAGTCCACCACCACACATAGCAATCACTTTCAAGCCTTTTCTTTCTAATATAAACAAAGCCGGTAATGTGAACATTATGCACATTATTCCATATATTGAGCTGAAAGT